TGTTTATTTTCCAAAGGACCAGCTCTTGATTCATAGATCTTTTGTGTTGTTTATTTTTAGACTCTATTTTGTTTATTTCCACTTTGATCTTTATTATTTACTTCCTTCTACTCATTTTGGGCTTCATTTGTTGTTCTTTTTTTTTTAGTTCCTTTTGGTATAAGGTTAGATTGTTTATTTGAGATTTTTCTGTGTTGAGGTAGCCCTGTATTGCTATGAATTTCTCTTGTAGGACTGCTTTTGCTTTTGGGTCATGTGTTTTGATTTTCATTTGTCTCAAAGTATCTTTGATTTCTTACTTGATCTCATTGTTAACCCATTCATTGTTCAGTAGTATGTTATTTAGCCTCCATGTGTTTGTGTTTTTTTTCTTATAATTGATTTCTAGTTTTATACCATTGTGGCTGAAATAGATGCTTGATGTAGTTCAGTTTTCTTAAATTACTGATACTTCTTTTGTAGTCTAACATGTGATCTATCCTAGAAAATATTCCATGTGCACTTGAAAAGAATGTGTATTCTGTTACTTTGGGGTGAAATGCTCTAAAAATATCAATTAAATTCATCAGGTCTAATCTCTCATTTAAGGCCACTGTTTCCTTGTTCATTTTCTGTCTGCAAGAACTATCTTTTGATGTCAGCGGGGTGTTAAATTCCCCTAGTATGATTGTGTTACTGTTGAGCTCTCCCTTTGTGTTCATCAATATTTGCTTCATATATTTAGGTGCTCCTGAGTGCATAAATGTTTGCAATGGTTATATACTCTTGTTGGATTGGTCCTTTTGTTATGAAATGTTCTTTGTCTCTTATTACAGCCTTTGTTTTAAAGTCTATTTTGTCTGATATGAGTATTGCTACTCCAGCTTTTAAAAAAAATTTTAGTCTTTGTGTGAGTCTCTTGTTGGCAATATATGTATGAGTCTTATTTTCTTATAAATTCAGCTACCCTGTGTCTTTTGAATGAAGCATTCATTCCATTTATATTTACAGTGATTATTGATAGTTATGCAGTTATTGTCATTTTATTATTCATATTTTTTTCATCTTCTTCTTAAAGGAGTTCCTTTAACATTTCTTGTAATACTAGTTTGGTGGTGATGAACCTACTTAGCTTTTTCTTGTCTGTGAAGCTCTTTATCTCTCAATCTCTCATTTAATTCTAAATGATAGCCTTGCTGGGTAGAATAATCTTGCTTGTAGGTCCTTACTTTTCATCACTTTGAATATTTTGTATCAATCCCTTCTGGTCAGCAAGGTTTCTGTTGAGAACTCAGCTGACAGTCTTATGGAAGCTCCCTTATAGGTAACTAACTGGTTTTCTTTTGCTGCTTTTAAAATTCTTTTTGTCTGTAACCTTTGGCAGTTTAATTGTGATGTTTCTTGGTGTGGACCTTTTGGGTCATGGTTGGGACTCTCTATGCTTCCTAGACTTGTATGTCTATTTCCTTCATACAAGGGAAGTTTTCTGTAATTATTTCTTCAAATAGGTTTTCAATCCCTTGCTCTCTCTCTTCTCCTTCTGATACCCCTATGATATGAATGTTGGTACAAGTGATATCCCAGAGGTCCCTTAAATTATCCTTATTTTAAAAATTCTTTTTCCTTTTTGCTGTTCTGATTGGTTGTTTTTGATATCTAGTCTTCCAGATAACTAATTTGGTCCTCTGTTTCATCTAATCTACTGTTGATTCCCTCTAATATATTCTTCACTTCAGTTATTGTATTACTTATTTCTGACTGTTTATTTATTTTTGTTTTCTAATTCCATTTTTATGTTTCCCTTTGTTGAAGTTCTCACTGAGTTCATCTACTCTTCCCTTGAGCATTCTTATAAGTAGTGTTTTGAACTCTGTATCTGGTAGATTGCTTGTCTCCATTTCATTTAGTCTGTTTTTTTTAGTTTTGTTTAGTTCTTTCATATAGGACATTTTTTTGTCTCCTCAGTTTGGTTGACTCTTTGTGTTTGTTTGTGTAGATCTTCTTAATTCTCCTGGTCTTGGCAGAGTGACCTTATGTAGTAGGTGTTCTATGGGGCCCAGTGATGCAGTCTTTTTAGTCACCTGATCCAGGTACTCCAGGGATATGCCTTGTGTGGGTTATGTGTTGAGTCCTAACTGCTATTACAATGTCAGTGGGAGGGATTTCCCCTCAGGCTGACTGGCTGCAAGGAAGACAGTGGATGAGCTGTGGTGTAGTGGTTAACCCCACAGGGTGGGATTCATTTTAGCAAGGCTCTGGTGCCTGCCAAGTCTACCCTTTGGGTATGTTGTTTGTGGAGTTAATTGGGTAGTGCTATCATATGGTCTAAAGCTGGTTGGTTTTGGGGTCTCTTGGGAGAGGCTTTGGTGCAGGTCAAGGTCAGCTGCTGCCTGTGTCCAGTCTAGGGCTACCTGGTAGGAGCTACAAAGTGATCTGCAGTTGGTTGCCATCTGTGCTGGGCTTAGAGTCACCTAGGAGAGGCTTGGCTGCAAACTGAGGCCAGCTGACATTAGTGCTGGCCTTGGGGCTACTTAGCAAGTGATACAGGGCAAGTTGAGGCCAGCCACTACTTATTTGGGGTTTGTGGACTTTTGAGAGATTTTTAGGAAAGTCCACAGTGCCAGCCAATGCTGGCTGCTTGTGAGAAACAGCTGCTGAAAGAAGTTTGGGCCTGTGAGTGAGTTGGGTGGGGCAGGTTTTCAGGGAATATCCAGGGTAAGGCAGGTGATGTTAGTCAATTTGATGGAGACTCGGATTTGAAGCTCTCCTATACCTGCAGGATGGGTGGGGGGAGGACTCAACAAAGAAACAATGGCACCTGCCAGTACTCCTGTCTAGGCCAGAACTCTGAAGCCAGATAATTCATTTTCTTGCTCTGAAGCCAGACAATTCAGTTTCTCCCTGTGTGTCCTTTCTATTTTTTGACCTGTTGTCAAGTGTTTGTGAATGTGTGAGTTTGTGTTTGGGCCCTGTAAGAGAAGACCTGGGTCTCCAGCAGCCCTCTGTCTCACCTGGATAGAATCCCTGCTGATTTTCACTGCCAGATGTTGTGAGGACTCCTCTTCCTGGTGCTAGTGGTCCAGGCAGGGCCCCTTTATCCTCAGCAAAGATTTCTGCAGTTAAGATATCCCTCCTGCCTGGCCGGCGTGGCTCAGTGGTTGAGTGTCAACCTATGAACCAGGAGATCACGGTTCGATTCCCACTCAGGGCACACATGTTCAGGTTGCAGGCTCAATCTCCAGTGGGAGGGTGGGGGGGGATGGAGGAGACAGCCAGTCAATGATTCTCTCTCATCATTGATGTTTCTATTTCTCTCTCCCTTCCTCTCTCTATATATCCTGAGTCTTGTTTTTTTTTTTAAATTGATTTGAGAGAGAGGAAGGGAGGCGAGAGAGATAGAAACATTAATTAGCGCCCTTGTGCATGCCCCCTATTGGGGGGATCGAACCCGCAACCCAGGCTTTTGGTTCGATGTCAACACTCAACCACTAAGCCACACTGGCCATCCCTCCTGATTCTTTTTTTTTTTCCCACAGTCTAATCATTTATTCATCGAGCTAACAATTCCTGTACACTTACTCTATGATTTACGGGATTACACATTCATCCCTCCTGATTCTTAACCACCAACACATGGGTGTGGGAGCAGCCCATATTGTGTCTCTGTGTGGCTTCTCTATATCTAGTTATAGGAGTTCTGTTCAGCTAGTCTTCAGATGATTCTGTCGGGTGGTTGTTCTATAATTTAGTTTTAATTTTGATGTAGTAGTGAGAAGAGTTGAGCACAACTGTTGTTTTTCTTACCTTGTAAATTTTTTTTACTCTAAAATATGTGCAGCTCTAACTGGTTTGGCTCAGTGGATAGAGCATCGGCCTGCAGATGAAAAGGTCCCAGGTTCGATCCCCTGGGCATGTACCTTGGTTGCGGGCACATCCCCAGTAGGAGGTGTGCAGGAGGCAGCTGATCGATGTTTCTAACTCTCTATCCCTCACCCTTCCTCTCTGTAAAAAAAATCAATAAAATTTATTTAAAAAATAAAATAAAATATGTGCAAATATAACATTGAAAAATATAAAATGAAAACCTAAAAATTAAGAATATGAATTATTAAAGAAACATTTAGTCAACCTTGCAAAATTATTACCCTCCAGACACAATCTGCTAGAAAATAGTTAAAGATTCTTGGATGTCAGCCATAGCACTGAAGCAGGGTCTAAGAGACCTTCTACTCTGCCAAATGTTAACCCCTTTGTTGCTTGAAGGTGGGAGGCCTTGGGATCTTTAGGGAAGGGCTGGGCAACACAGAGGAAGATAATGGTGGAGGAGTATGGGTAGGGTGGGATGGGGAGGGCGGTCATGGATTAGGGAGATACTCAGGATGTTAGGACAGCAATTATTTAGCCACTGGTTTAGAAGAATTTCAATATTGTAACAATCAGTTCAACCATTTTGATATGTCCTTGCTGAATATTGGCCTGGATCAAAATACCAAAGAGAATAAATTTAGATAAACAAACATAGTGAGTTCACATGATGTTTTGTTTCTAGTTAGATTGTTGCCCCTTTATTTTAAAATATGAAAACATGAATTCAAACTTTAGTAAATTATAACGAGTTACATCAGAGTGCTTCTCAAATAAATACTTGATATATGTCAAAGGATATCTTGAAGCCATTTTGGAAAGATTGGAGTGCTAAGAGAACATAGATGCAAAAATATCTGAAATTCTAGGTATGTTAAATTTGTGATAACTGTTTCATTACGTTCTTCAGATTATCATTGGAAAGGAAAATTAAAGAAAAATTTATTTCTTAAATTGGGTAGTGGATTCATGGATGTTTATTAAGTTGCTTTATGACTTAAAAATGTTATATATACTATTTTGAAGAAATCTGTTATTTCATACTAAAAAGTAGAAAGACTATTAAGTTTTTAAAAGTAAATATGATAACTGTTTAAAAGAACCTTTCAGATAGCAAGTGCATTATTATAATATTTGAAACTTATGTTCTCTTGTAGTTGAAAAACCGAGGTCGCTGGGTCCATTGGAATGAATTAATTAAAAGTACTGATTTAGGAGATAAACGTATCAAGATTCAAGATATCATAGTCCCTACAATGGACACAGTTAGATATACATTTCTAATGAATTTGAGTATTACCTATGCCAAGTAAGAAATTCTTATAACATACACTTAAATCATAACAGTGTCATTCTAACAGGATCATAGAATATTTGAAGTAAGCTTTAAGGTCATTCATTTTCAGATAACTGACTCCCTGGGAGACTGGCTAATTGACATGTCCATATTGACATCTGTTACTAGTGGCAAACCTAGAATCCAGGTTTCCTATTGCCCATTTCAAACTCGTTGCCATTATACTTTGTTGCTTCATAAACTGCCTTATATTTCTTTTATTTGTAACAGACTAAAAATCAGTGTTATTGCTAATAGGTATGCATTCTACTCAAAGATTCACTGTACTTCTGAGGTCAGACTAACCATGATCCACATTCTTCCATTACATTTAATAATTTTCAAACATATCCTATTCTAGTTCTTCATAACTTAAGATGAACATGCAAAACCCAGACTTGAATTAGAAGAACACATCAAAAAAGAGTACATGAAACTGAATCAAAAGCCTAGCATGTACTATAGGCATATCCATACCAACTTCCTTAATAACATTTTGGTAGTTATTTTTCTTTTAAAACATGAGGCATAATTTATTATTAATGCTATTTTGAACTAGAGAAGCTTACATAATATGCATGAATGTAATGGTTTGTTGTTTATAAAAAACTTGTTTTTGAATGAATTTGTGACAATTTTATCTTGTTTAATAAACAAAAACAGAAAGAATAGCTTATGAGGGAACATTATTTTATTACTATTTTATAGTTGCATTTTTGCATTTATTTATTTTTATTTGTTTATGATTTGAGAGAGAGAGAAACACTGATTTGTTGTTCCACTTATTTATACATTCACTGGTTGATTCTTGTACCTGCCCTGACCAAATATTGAACCCTGAACCTTGGCATATCAGGACGATACTAACCAACTAAGCTATCTGGACAGGGCTGCATTTTTGCATTTAATGCCTAATATTTAAAACTTTCTTAGGCAAGGAAGTCACTTGCCAATTCTGAGGAATTCTAGTATGGTAATTTTTTTGTGCTATGAGACATTTGTCAGAATAATGATTTTAAGTGAGTAATGTAAACATAGGATTACAAGGGAAATCACATGTTGAAATACATTTATTAAAATATTGAACAAATTTGGGCCTGCCTGGTTTGGCTCAGTGTTTGAGCGTTGACCCATGAACCAGGAGATCATGGTTCCATTCCCAGTCAGGGCACATGCCTGGTTTGCACGCTTGATCCCCTGTAAGGGGGTGTGCGGGAGGCAGCCAGTCAGTGATTCTCTTCCATCATTGATGTTTCTATCTCTCTCCCTCTCCCTTCCTCTCTCTGAAATCAATAAAAATATATTTTAAAAATTGAACAAATTTGGTCCATAGTAGAAATACATATGCTTCTTTTTTTTTTAACCCTCATCCAAGGAATGAGGATATTTTTTCCATTGATTTTCAGAGAGAGTGGAAGGGAGAGGGGGAGGAGAGAGAGACTCAAACCTGCAACCTAGGTAAGTGCCCTTGACTGGAATTCAAACCCACAACACTGGTATGGAGGCCAGTGCTCTAACCACTGAGCAACAAAGGCCAGGGCCATGTACTTCTTTATGAATCCTATATAATATAAGCCTAATATGCTAAGTGTCCAGTCGCCCGGTCGTCCATTCAACAAATCAAAGCATAATATGCTAATGATATGCTAAGGCTGCTCAACCACTTGCTATGACGTGCACTGACCTCCAGGGGGCAGACAGTCAACTGGTTGACCAGTCGCTATGACATGCACTGACCACCAGAGGGTAGATGCTCTGAACAGTAGATTTGCTTGTGCTGGGTCTGGCAGATCGGGACTGAGCAAGAGGACTGGACATGCCCTGGAGCCCTCCTGCAGTCTCTCCCCAGCTGGCCAATCTCCCGTGTCCCTCCCCAGCCTTGATTGTGCAGCGGTGGGATCCCTCGGCCTGGCCTGCATCCTCTCACAATCTGGGACTCCTCGGGGGATGTCGGAGAACCGGTTTCGGCCCAATTGTGCAGGCCAGGCCAAGGGACCCCACTGGTGCATGAATTCGTGCACTGAGCCTCTAGTACAGCGGTTCTCAACCTGTGGGTCGCGACCCCTTTGGGGGCCAAATGACCTTTTCACAGGGGTCGCCTAAGACCATCGGAAAACACATTATTACATACTGCTTTTGTGATTAATCATTATGCTTTAATTATGTTCAATTTGTAACAATGAAAATACATCCAGCATATCAGATATTTACATTACGATTCATAACAGTAGCAAAATTACAGTTATGAAGTAGCAATGAAAATAATTTTATGGTTGGGGGTCACCACAACATGAGGAACTGTATTAAAGGGTTGTGGCATTAGGAAGGTTGAGAACCACTGCTCTAGTACATTAACTATGATCCAGTAGTGAGTCTGATGACTGTCATAATTTTGAAGAAATCATTGCATCAGTGATATTGAGTTGTCACTAACAATTATAATATTTAGTATAATGTCTATGATTTCTACTGGTGACAAACACACAGGTACTATTAATACAATTGCTCCATTTTAATTAAGGATAGTGAAAGCAAAGATATAACTTTTTTGTCATCCCAGTTCACAGATTCTCTGAACACTTTAAGAATTTCTTCAATTGGTCCATAGACCCCAAGTTAAGAGCAGTATTTTATTTATTAAAATTACTTTAATAAACAGTCTTTCTTAAGGCAAGGGTTACTCAGATTAGGACACATAGATGAATTCAGGGGTTACTATAGTTGTAAAACTTTAGTTTTATGTTTATACTTCAATGATAATTTTTAAAAGTAATACATATTAGCATAATTTAGTTTACTTAGATGACCCCTTCTAACGGAATGCTGTTGCTTAGTTTTGTGTTTGTCTTTATGTATTGTGTACTACCAAATTATCACGCAATGTGACAGTATTTAATTTTTCAATTCAATATTTCTCAAACTTGGAGTCCTTAGAATTCTGTGAATATAAACTCATAGGATTTTTTTCCTTTTCTAATTAGTTATGATCACTCAAGTATGAGAAGCCCTGCTTGAGATTCCACTGAATAGAAAATTCCTTTATGTTTGCTTTTAGATAAGTATTTTCAGTTAGTAATTCTGACTTGGTTCTAAAATGTTAAATAGGTATATATAACTGTTGGATTTAGAATTCACTTTTATTTCTCACACAAACTGTGCTATTGAGATAACTGTGAAACAGCCAAAATCTATCTTATGTCATCATGTCATTAGTCTATTCCACACGACACCCTCTTGCCTATACTTCTAACTAAAAAATACAAACACTGTACATAACTTTCCTGAGACAAATTTTGCCTTTCCTTTCTGAAAAGTTAAGCATGTTATTACTTGTTTTATGAGTATTTTGCATATAGCAATGTTACATCTGTTCAATTAATAGTTCCTTACTATACTATTAAAGTTTTGGTAACAGGAAGCAAAAATGTGTGCCAATTGTTACTTTACCAGTCTTTCGTGATATAATAATGATAGATTAAAATGTGAGTTTTTAGATGAATTTGATTTGGTTATTTTTTTACATTTTCAATAACTCTAACTTCCCTTAGTAGAAATGTATTCTGACTTTTTCCCCTTTTGAATGATATATTCATTGTTTTCCTAAAGGCCACTGCTTTTTGTGGGTCCAACTGGTACAGGAAAATCAGTGTATGTGAAGGATAAGCTAATGAATCACTTGGAAAAGAACAAGTATTTTCCTTTTTATGTTAATTTCTCTGCACGGACCAGTGCCAACCAGGTTCAGGTTAGTTTAAAGCCAGAAACATAGATTGATAATTATTGAATGTTTTGCCTTATTTGATTAGTATTTAAAATTGTATATTAAATGAGCAGCTGTGCAAATTTTCTATGAATTTAAATTAAACTTCAAACTTATTTTTGGCATTACAAATAAGTTTTAAAAGTCAGGTTTTGAGGACAAACATTTGAGAGAACATATTTGCATTAATACTGGATTATTGAGATTTGTCATCTTTTTTTCATGCCAAGAAGCAGCAGCAATTGATTTCTTACCTAGGGAAGGGAGTATAAAGAAGGGAGGGGGCAGAGAAAGAGGAGAGAGAACTTTCTAGACTCCCCTAGATGATCCTTAGGAGCATTTGCTGCTTATTGAAGCTCTGTCTATGATATATATTTCAAACCATGGACTATTGTAGACCTTCTGTGACAAGAATTGTGTAGCTGTGCGTCCCACCCTTTACCCCCAAAAGTACCAACATGGAAGTATTGCATGAGGCCTTTTCCAATCACCATTTTTATCAGCCATTCCTAAATTTATGTCTGTCCAATCTCTCTTGACCTGTGGAACTCATTTTCATTGTTTTAAACCTGTAGAATTCCCTTAATCTCAAAATCTTACAAATTTAGATTAGTAATTTTAGATATTGAGTAAATTAAAGTTAATAGCTGTGTTGGGGTATTTAATGAGGAAAATATTTGTGTGCATATGTGCATATGTGTATAATATAAATATGTATGTAACAATTCTTAGTACTGTAGGGTTTCAATAAATTCTCTTTAATGTTGAATATGAAGTTTGATATCACTCTAAAAGTGAATAAATATAAACATGCACATGGTGCTGCTTGACATTATTTCCTTACATAATTAAACTTAACTTCCTTATTTTTTCTGGTGTTAAGTATAACTACTATACTTTCTTCTTTATATTTTAGAACATTATTATGGCTAGATTGGATAAAAGACGCAAAGGAGTTTTTGGACCACCTATGGGAAAGAAGTGTATAATTTTTATAGATGACATGAATATGCCTACATTGGAGAAATATGGAGCTCAACCTCCTATTGAATTATTACGACAGTTTTTTGACTGTGGGAATTGGTAACTATTTGATTGAAGTCTTAGTTAGGCATGGTGAAGTTAGTTTTTTATTCTCTTTTTCTATTTTAATTTCTCAGAGCAAAATAATACATTTTTTTCAAGTTATTTATGAAAGATAAATAACTGATTGCTTATTTTCCTATACAGAAAATTTTGGCAGACTTTTTCTTTATAAATTTACTTTATTTCTTATATATTTTTTCTGAGTATAATTTAAAAAAATATTTTTATTGATTTCAGAGAGGAAGGGAAAGAGAGATAGAAACATCAATGAGGAGAGCGAATCATGATTGGCTGCCTCCGCAAACCCCACACTGGGGATTGAGCCCACAACCTGGGCATGTGCCCTAATCAGAAATGGAACTGTGACCTCCTAGTTCATAGGTCGACGCTCACTTACTGAGCCACGCTGGCCAGTCTAGAAGACTTTTATATACCTTTTTTATACCAGTTTTTCCTCTGAATGTGTGAATTAGATAACAGATTAATAATCCAGTATTGGCAATGTATATATTCAATGCTGTAGTAAATTCTTTCCTTTACAGCGATTATTTTCAAAATAATCTATTGATTTATATCTTTCAAAGTACTATTCCCCCAGGGCTGAGAATTTATGGGTAGTTTCCAACCTAAGTAATTATAACCAACACCCTGTGTTTCTACCATTTTAACTTCTTTATATTTTCTGTTACTGTTTGGGACTACCATATCTTTGAAATGGCTTGATTTTAACAGCAATTTCATAGATAATTTTACTTCCTCCATGCCAATATAGCATTATTCTTATCTCAAGGCAAGGGTAGACTAATTTTGAAGCTAAGTCCTATTTTGGAAATACATTTTTGTTATTACTGCAGGCCCTTAGAATCCTGCCTTCTGGAAATAATCACTGTTAATAATGTATTCCCTCTTCCTCCAAGTTTTTGTTCTTTATAAATATTTTTATTTTAAAAAATATACTCATGTTACACATGTTTTGCAACTTATTTGCACTTAAGTATTTATCTTAAACACCTATCATGTTATTTGCCTCATTTATTTTACTGGCTTTTAATACTATTTAGTTCTATGGATCTTGCCATAATTTACTTAGCCAGTTCCCTATGACAGCTATTATGGTTGCTGCCATAAACCAAATCATATTTTCATACTTTCTAGTGTGCTCTTAGACTAAGTACTGGTTATATAGATTTCTCCTATCATCCTCCCCCAATTTTTGCAAGAACTTCAATATTAAAGGACTTAATGGCCTATTGGAAATAAGAACTTGTTCAACTGAGTGATTCCAACTAAACTGAGTCATTTAGCTATCCCTTTCTGATTAAAACTTCTTCGGAGATTTGTTACTCCTGAATGGGTCCTTTTTTATATAACAAAAGTGTGTAGTTACTATTTAGATGTTCTTGTGTTCTCCGAAGATAAGATGTGAGATGAGAAAAAGAAATCAGGACTTTGCTGTACATAGTTTAGCTATATAATTTATTTTCAAACAGGGACATTTCTGAGAGTAAAAGGGGAGTGTCAGTAACTACTCTAGGGCAGTGATGGCGAACCTTTTGAGCTCGGCGTGTCAGCATTTTGAAAAATCCTAACTTAACTCTGGTGCTGTGTCACATAGAAATTTTTTGATCTTTGCAACCATAGTAGAACAAAGACTTATATTTTTGATATTTATTTTATATATTTAAATGCCATTTAACAAAGAAAAATCAACCAAAAAAATGAGTTCGCATGTCACCTCTGACACGTGTGTCATAGGTTCGCCATCACTGCTCTAGGGCAAGCACAAACCAGAACTGTCCTAGGCGAAAGGGGATGTATAGTCACCCTATTGTGACGAGCTATACACAAGATTGATCTCTCATCCATGCTCTGGATTTGGAGTAAGAAAAGGAAAAGCAAAGAGTCAAATTGGAAAAAAAAGAGTAGGAGGAGAGAAAGGAAAGGGCAAGAGGGAGGAACATTCTAGATACTCAGAATCTGGGCAGCAGAGTCAGTGTCACTGAAAGGAAAAGTGGAATGCTGCTTAAAATAAGTTCCCCCTATTCGAAGCATTATCACAAGTTCTTCCTTTTAGAGAAGCTAAAATCAGGTTAAGTTTCTAGGGAGATCTACATTTCATTCCATCTTATTGGCTTTATAACTGATTGTTTTGAATTTTTATGTGCTTTCAAGGTACGACCTTAAGGACACAAGTAAAATCACATTGGTTGACATACAGCTGATTGCTGCCATGGGCCCTCCAGGTGGTGGAAGAAATCCAGTCACTCCCCGTTTTATTCGACATTTCAACATCTGCACTATTAATGCTTTTAGTGATGAAACAATGGTCCGAATCTTCTCATCAATTGTAGCATTCTACCTTAGGACTCGTGAATTTCCTCCTGAGTTCTTCTTAATTGGAAACCAAATTGTCAGTGGGACTATGGAGGTGAGCAAAAAATACAATACAAAATATTTCAATATATATATCTCATTGGGTCCTTAACTTTTTTTAAAAAAAAAAAAACATGTTTTCCTTTAGACATCTACTTTGGTCTTCAGTGTCAGAGAAGCTGTTATGAAGGCTTGAGAATAGGAAGATTATAGGCTTTGAAATTAGAGAAACTAATTGGGTTTGAGCTTTGAATGCTATTTCCTAGCTAAGTGGACTTAAGCAAGTAATTTGACTTTCCAGAAACTCATTTTTTAAATCACAAAAATGGGAGATAACACCTGTTTCACAAGGTTATTACAAGGAAATCACCCAGAACCAGTATGTGCCACATTGTGGGTTTTCCCTAATTATTAGGTTCCCACTCTGGTGTTTATAAATTTTCTCTTCTCTCCCCTCCATTTCTTCATGCTTGTCTTAAAAAATGAACTTAAGCATCTTATGAATATATTTTTAGCTAGGTCCCATAATTTAGGATTAGTAGTGAAAAAAATTATAAGAAAACACAAGGGTGGGAACAAAAAACAAGATTGCCCATATGGCCAAAGAGCAGCTCTTAACTTACTCAGTGTGTTTGTTATCTGCCTCTGCTTGAGGCCAGCACCAGCCTTATTGCTAATGGTAAAAGGGAAAAAAATGTATTCAAGGTGATAATCTCATTGAACTAAGCTTTGAGGAGCCTTGATAAGGGAGAGGGGGTGGTGTCACTGCAACCAAAAGCAAAAAGCTCCCCCCAGAATCATTCCATCAATTTCTAAAAGCATTGTATCTTTCTAAAGTTGTTCTCCTCTTATTCTGGTGGAAAATTTGTCCCGTTAAAATAGAGAAACTATGAACAGAGAAATGTACATTGTAATTACTATACTTATTCTGATACAGAAAAGTGCTTGTATTTATTAAATATGATATTTGTATTTCAGGCATTTCCTGAAAAGAGGGAGCAGTTGGTTAGGCAGAATGGGATACAGAAAGGATTCTTCCCCACCCCCCTCTTTGAAGCATTATAGACCTACCGAGTGTGTAGGTTAGGGAAGAAAGGTGAATCATAGGACACATAATAAAATATAATTTAATTTGTTTTTTTCAGGCTACATTTTAATTATTTATCTTCCTTAAAGAAAATATTAAACTTTATTTGGTGAATTCAGCATATAGCCAGTTATGATAGAAGGAAGAAGGGGGAGAGAAAAAATAAGAAAGAGAGGGGAAGTGAGAGAGCACATTGGTTTGTTTTGAATTCAATGGTAGTCAAAAGGAAATTGTTTCATCCTACTCTTTATTTCGAATACTTCAGAATGAGTTACCTGATTTCACTTTCTCCTAAAGTTTTTGTTAACTACTTAATCTCAGATCATTTCCCTTTAAATGGGACAGTCATAACATAGGGGAAATAAAAGCATTGTCGCTTTTTGGGCTTGGATGGAATCTGATAATATTAAGTTCCTTCAAATTCATAATGCCTGGTTGAGTGCTATAAACAAACAAAAAAACGTATGCCATGCTAGACTTAATTATTATGCAATTTTCCAAGATAATATAATCTGATAGGATAAATAAAATATTTTGTATAACATACAATTTGTTATCTGGCTTTTCTGATTATAAGCATTTTATTTTTGCTTTGTTGCTTTTTTCATATTCAGATATACAAACAATCCATGAAAAATCTTTTGCCCACTCCCACAAAATCTCATTACACTTTCAACTTGAGGGATTTTTCACGTGTCATCCAGGGCTGCTTACTCATTGAAAGAGATGCCGTGGGGAGCAAGCATACCATGATCCGGCTGTTCGTGCATGAGGTTCTTCGAGTGTTTTATGATCGCCTCATTAATGATGAGGATCGATATTGGCTGTTCAATTTAATCAAAGTTGTTATAAAGGAGCACTTTAAAGAATCATTTGATAGTGTCTTTTCACATTTGAGGAAAGAGAATGCACCAGTGAGTATATTTAGTGATTAAAAACATTAAGTTAAGACAGTACAATAGTGTCTTGGCCAGTGTTGCTCAGTTGGTTGGGTGTCATCCCATGCCCTGAAAGGTCACCAATTTGATTCCTGGTCAGGGCACATGCCTGGGTTGCAGGCTTGATCGATCCCTGGTAGAGGGTGTGCAGGAGGCAGACGATCAATATTTTGTGCTCACATCGATGTTTTTTTCTCTCCCTACCGCCCCTCTCTCTAAAAATAAAAAACACACAGTACAATAGCATGAATTATTACTTATCTTTAAAAAATACTAATTTTTAATTATTATATTCTTTTAACTTTCCACTTAGACAGTATTTATTTTGAGAAGATTTGTCTTTAGAGAAATTATGTATATAACATAGAAGTTATTTAAAAAATAATACTTTGTATGATAGGGATTAAATTTAATAACAGATATAAAGTGTTTAACATTGCTTTGTAACTACTGAATAAGTGGAAGTCATTCAGAATGACTTCTCCAGCCTCTAGGGCAGTGATGGCGAACCTTTTGAGCTCGGCGTGTCAGCATTTAAAAACACCCTAACTTAACTCTGGTGCCATGTCACATATAGAAATTTTTTGATATTTGCAACCATAGTAAATATTTTTGATATTTATTTTATATATTTAAATGCCATTTAACAAAGAAAAATCAACCAAAAAAATGAGTTCGCGTGTCACCTCTGACACGCATGTCATAGGTTCGCCATCACTGCTCTAGGGAGTGGGGGAAACTTTTTTTTAAAATAGAAAAAAAGCTCTTTTTAAAAAAATTCCTAAGGATATAATATAATTGCAGGTATTAATTTTACAACTATATTATTTACTACCCTATCTTTTTAAAAATATATATTTTTTTATTGATTTCAGAGAGGAAGGGAGAGGTAGAGAGAGACAGAAACATCAATGATGAGAGAGAACCATTGATTGGCTGCCTCTTGCACACCCTACACTGAGGATCAAGCCCGCAACATGTGCATGTGCCCTGATGGGGAACCCAACCGTGACCTTCTGGTTCACAGGTCCATGCTCAACCACTAAGCACACCGGCCGGGCTACCCTAATTGTTTTAAAAGAATTCTGTAATTGATAATCATCCTATAATATGGACAAAACAAAATTTTATATAACATTTTCTTAAACTTATTTTAGAAAAATAATTTGTTTTATAATTTATTGATTTTCATTCTATAGGTAACTGAAAAGGACTTAAGAAATCTTATGTTTGGTGACTATATGAATACTGACCTTGAAGGAGATGACAGAGTTTATATTGAAATTCCAAATATTCATCAATTTAGTGACATTGTGGACCAATGCTTAGATGAATATAATCAAACTCACAAAAGAAGAATGAATCTTGTCATTTTTAGGTACCTACATTTGGTATTAATGGTTGAAATTACTATTTGTAAAAATTTATTGTGAAATATTTTAAATGTGTAAAAAGGTATAAGAAAAACTATGGTGAATAACCTTGTTCCCATAATTGAGCTTAAGACATAAACTATTAGCAGTTTATTTGAAGTCCCTTCTGTAGCCATCCTTTCATCACTGCATTCCCATTGAACCCTGCAGGGGTAAAACAAAATTCATGTGTCTTCAGACTTTTATGCACTACCTTATTTTACATGTTTAAAACTCATATAAATGGTATCATACTGTATGTACTCTTCTGCAAGTTGGTTTATTCCATATTGTTTGTAACATTCACACACACAAAATGATTTTTTACTACTACATTGTATTCCATTTTATATGTGTAAAAATGTAGTTGTTCTTCTAATATAGACTTTTATGTGCCTTCTAGTTTTGCAATGATAAAAAAAAGGTTAGAATGTTCATGTCTCCTTGGGTACCTGTGTAAGAATTTCTTAGAAGTGAAATTATTGTGCCATGGTGTGTAAGCATCTTCTATTTTACTAAGCTTTGCCAAGTGCCTTCAAAAATTATTATTGTTTTTAAGAGCTTGTGTTGTCTCTCTCCCTTGCCAATATGTAGGATTGCCAGACTTGGTAAGTTTTGCCAATCAAAGGAGAGTGGCTCTACTAGTAAACTCTAATTTCCCTAATTACTAGTGAAGCCATCTTTCCTGAATTTGTTATTTTGTGAATAACTGATCTATTTTTTCACATAGAAATCCTTTTATTAAAAAAATTAAAAGAAATAGTTTTAATAAAAATAACAATGTACTTTCAGGATAAGAGGTTATGCTTTCATTTTATTTCTATAATTTGCATATTACATTTCCTGAATTTGTACTTTAAATAATTTTACTTAGCATCAAATGATCCAATTATAACTGCTTTTGAAAAATCACACATTTTTTATGATTACTTCTTTAAAATTGGTATCAGACAGCAGTCTATCCTAGGAAAGTAAAACAATATTTATGTGTAAATATACATTTACATTTATATTTTCAAGTATAATAATATTGATACTTTATAGGTATGTATTGGAACATTTATCACGAATATGTCGAATTCTAAAGCAGTCTGGTGGAAATGCTTTGCTTGTTGGACTTGGAGGAAGTGGTCGTCAATCTTTAACTCGTCTGGCTACATCCATGGCAAAAATGCAGATATTCCAACCAGAAATTTCTAAGAGCTATGGTATGAATGAGTGGAGAGAAGACATGAAGGTAAAGTTATGAAAAAAAAGTCTAGTGTCTAAAATATTATCAGTGCATTCTTTTACCTGTGAAGAGAGAGCCAATCTGTATAGCTATGTACTGAATACATTGGTGAAGATGTTAATATTATCTATAGATTAGTTACAGTGTGTGTTGAGCACTGTTGTAAGTGCTTTACAGACATGATCTCATTTTATAGGTATAACAATTCAGTGCAGCAGGTATGGTTGTCTCTGTATTTTACTGATGAGGAACCTGAAGTTGAGCTTAGTTTCTTTGGAGCTGTCTTGCTGTTTCAGTAAACAATAGAACAGTAGAATGCATACTGGGGCTTTCATCCTCATATGTATACAACTCTGCAGGCCCCAAAAGAGAGATGACTCAAAGTAGAAAAAAAGGAAGGGAGATATTTACTGCTGGACTTTTTCATTTTCACTGACCCTCACATACTAAATTTCTACAACCTAAAAGTTAACATAAAGAAAAGGTAGCATTTGAGATCTTTTTTAATGAAAGTGTTTAAAAACTTTCCCCTTAGCACTGTTTTAGCTGCATCTCCATATGTATTGATATGCTGGGTTTTTATTTTCATTTATTTCAAGAAATTTTATGATTTCATTTATGATTTCTTCTTTGACTTATTTGTTAGTTAAAAGTTTGTTATTAAATTGCCACGTATTTATGGATTTTTCAGTTTTCCTTCTGCTATTTATTTCTAATTTAATTCCATTGTTATCAAAAAAGATACTTGATATGATTTAAATCTTCTTAAATTTGTTAAGACTCCTATTGAGGCCTAACATGATTTATTGTAGAGAATGTTCTATGTGCACTTAAGAAGAATATGTATTTTGCTGTTGTTGGGTGGAGTGTTTTGTACATGTCTCGTAGGGCTAATTGGTTTATAGTGTTATTCAAATCCTCCATTCCCTTATTGATCTTCTGTCTGGTTGTTCTATCTTTTACTGAAAGTTGGGGTATTGATTGCGTTGCTTTTCTTCCTTCAATTCTGTCAATGTTTGTTTCATAGTTTAGGAGCTCTGCTGTTTGGTGAATAAATACTTATAATTATTATATCTTCCTGATGAATTGACATTTTAATCATTATATAATGTATATTGTCCCTTGTGAGAGTTTTTGACTTAAAAGTCTATCTTGTCTTAAAGTCTATCTTGTTTTATATTAGTACAGCCACCCTGCTTTTTTTGGTTACCATTTGCATTGAACATCTTTTCCCTCCTTTCACCTTTAGCCTTTGTGTGTACTTAGGTCTAAAGTGAGTCTTTTTCAGCCCTAGATGATTTGGCTCAGTGGATAGAATGTTGGCCTGAGGACCGAAGGGTCCCATGTTCAATTCCAGTCAAGGGCATGTACCTCGGTTGTAGGCTCCTCCCTGGCTCGGGCTCTGGTCAGGGCACATGCAGGCGGCAACCAGTCCATGTGTTTCTCTCACATTGATGTTCCTCTCTGTCTTTCCCTCTCTCTTCCACTCTTCCATTTAAAAAAATCAATAGAAAAATATCCTTGGGTGGAAATTAACAAAAATAAAATAAACAAAACTGTTCAACCTTAATTTCAAAAATAAATAAATAAATAAATCTCTTACAGGCAGCATATCTTTGGATCCTGTATTTTTATCCTTTTAGCAAAGCTATGTCTTTTGGGGAGGTTAATCCACTTACATTTAAAGTAATTGCTCATGGGGAAGTATATACTATTGGCATTTTTTACTTGTTTTCTTTAAGTTTTGTAGCTTTTTTTGTCCCTTATTTTCTCTCTTAATGCCTTCCTTTGTGTTTTGTTGATTATCTGTAGTGACATGCTTTGATCCCTTCTCTTTGTGTATATTCTATACTTTATATTTTCATATGGCTTTGTATTGCTGTCCAGTATTATTTGTTTTCATCTTGAAAAGATTCCTTTTAGCATTTCTTGAAGGGTATGTCTAGTGGTAATGAATTCCCGCAGCTTTTAACTATTAAAAAGGTATTTAAATTATATATATATATATATGTTATTGATTTCAGAGAGGGAGAGAGAGATTGGTGGTGATGAACTTCTTTAGCTTTATCTTGTCTGTAAAGCTCTTTATATGACCTTCAATTCTAAATGACACCTTTGCTGGGTAGAATAATCTTGGTTGTAGGTCCATGCTATTCATCACTTTGAACTTTTCTTGCCACTCCCCTCTGGTATGCAAAGTTTCTGTTGAGAAATCAGATGACAGTCGTATGGGCGCTCCCTTGTAGGTAACTAATGGCTTTTCTCCTCTGCTTTTAAGATTCTCTCCTTGTCTTTAACCCTTGGCATTTTAATTATGATGTGTCTTGGTGTGGGCCTCTTTGGGTTCCTTTTGTTTGTGAGTCTTGGTGCTTCCTAGACTTGTAAGTCTATTTCTTTCACCAGGTAGGGGAAGTTTTCTGTCATTATTTCTTCAAATCTTGCTCTCTCTCTTCTCCTTCTGGCACCCCCATAATGTGAATGTCAGTGTGCTTGAAGTTGTTTCAGAGGCTCCTTACACTATCTTCATATTTTTAAAATCTTTTTTTCTTTTTGCTCTTCTGATTGGGTGTATTTTGCTTCCTCATATTCCAAATCATTGATTTGATTCTCAGAATTTTCTACTCTACTGTTGAATCTCTGTAAATTATTCTTTATTTTAGTTATGTATGCTTAATTTCTGATTGGTCCTTTTTCATGTCTTTGACATTGTGACTAAGATCCTTGAAAGTCTCACTAAGTGCCTTAAAGCTCTCATTAATTCTCTTGAAGCTCTCATTAAAGTCCTATAACCATTGTTTTGAACTCTGTCTCCAATAGTTTGCTTGCTTCCATTTCTTTCTTTCGTAACATGTTTCTTTGTCTCTTAATTTTGGCTGCTTCCCTGTATTTGTTTCTACGCATTAGGTAGAGCTGTTATATCTCCTGGAATTGGCAGAGTGGCCTTACCAGGTGTCCTATAGGATCTAGTGGCTCAGTCTCCCCAGTCACCTGAGTTTGGTACTCTAGGTGTGCCCCTTTAAGGGCTGTGTGCACAGTCTTGTAGTTGAGCCTTGATTGCTGTTGGAGTCACTAGGAGTTGGCTGTGAGGACCAGCTGTGTCTACAATGGAAGAGCTGCTGTACAGGAGACACCCTATGGAGAAGGATTTGCTTCAATGGGGCTTTGGTGCTCACTGAGTCTGCCCCTTGAGTGTGTTGCTTGTTGATGGTGTAGAGTTGTAATCTGGTATGGTCTGAAGCTGTCCACTGGGTGCACCAGCTCTTGGGCCTCCCAGGAGGTACAAAGTCATCCACTGCCTGGGGCCACATGGCAGGAGCTCCAGGGAGATCTGCAGATGGCTGCTACTTATATTGGGCTAGGAAATTCCCAGGTGAAGCCCAGTTGTGAGACAAGGCAGGCTGGTGCTAATGCTGGGTCTTGAGCCTCTTATTGATAGGTTTGGGGCATGCTGATGCCAGCTGCACCTTGTTTGAGAGACTTTAGCAAAGTCTGAAGCCTGAGCCAGAACAGGCCATTCATATGTAAAAGCCACTGCAAACAACTTGGGTGGGGCTACAAATTGGATGGGGCGGAGTCTCAAGAAATCACCAGGGTGTAGGGAACAGTGTGGGTCATGCTGATGGAACTCAGTTATGGCTGTCAGTCAGCTCTGTGATGGAGGAGGTCCCAGCACAGGAACAATGATCCCTGCAAGCACTGCTTCCTGGGAGAAAGCTGCTCCTGAGTTCCTGCCCCAATGCCAGACAGTCCAGTTCCTCCCCATATGTCCCTGGATTCTACCAATGCCACTGCTTGGCGCTGGAGCTCAAAGGAAGTGAGACCATGTAAATTCTGTGCATGGGCCCTTTAAGAGGAACATATGGGACCCCAGAAGCCTCTGTGTCACTCAGCCACAATCCCTGCTGGTTTTTACAGCCCGAAGTTACAGGGACTTATATTCCAAGCCCTGGAAACCTGGACTAGGGATCTGGTATGGGGCTGGGACCCCCTGCTTCTCAAGGGAGGCCTTGGAGATATCCCTCCCGATTAAAAAACCGCACATGGGTGTCAGACCAGCCTGTTCCATGCCTCCGCCCCTCCTACCAGTCTCAGTATGCTTTCTTCTTTACTTCTCTAGTTGTAGGACTTCCATTCAGCCAGATTTCAGGGGGTTCTGAATATGGATGTTCTGTAGTTTAGTTTTAATTTTGATGTGGTTGTGGGAGGTGGTGAGTATAGGCATTTACCTACGCCACCATCTTGGTTCTCCCCCAGATACAGTATTCTTGGTTGACAGTTATTTTTTCTCTCCATACTTTGAATATATCATCCTACTCCCTTCTTGCCTGCAAGGTTTCTGCTGAGAAATATGCTGATAATTTTATGGAAGCTCCCTTGTATGTGAGAACATGCTTTCAAGATTCTTGCTTTATCTTTGACTCTCAACAGTTGGATTATAATATGTCTTGCTGTATGGATCTATTTGGATTTACATTGTTGGAGTTTGTAGGCTTCTTGGATTAATGTATCTGTTTATATCCTCAGTTTTGTCCATTATGTCTTCAAGTAAGTTCTTGGCCCCTTTCTCTCTTCTCTTTCTGGTACTCCAATAATGCATCTATTGACCCACTTGATGGTATCCTTTTAGTACCTTAGACTGTTCACTCTTCATTCATTTTCCTGTTTGTTCCTCTGACTCAATGACTTCAAATAACTTGTGTTTAAGTACACTGATGCTTTCTTCTGCCTGATCAAATGTGATGTTGCCCTGGCTGGTGTGGTTCAGTTGGTTGGAGTGTCATCCCATACACCAAAAGGTTGTGGGTTTGATTCCTGGTCAAGGCACTAGATCACTGGCTTAATCCCCAGTTAGGGTATGTGCAGAAGGCAACCAATTGTTTCTCTCTCACGTTGATGTTTCTCTTTCTCTTTCTCTTCTCAAATCAATAAGCATATCCTCAGGTGAGGATTAAAATTTTTTTTAATAAAATAAGATAAATAAGTAAAATCTGATGTTGAGTACCTCTAGAGACCATTCTTTTAACATTGTTTCTGTAAGTGATGACTTCTAAATTCATATGTAGCTACAGATTAATAGCCTGCTTGCTTAAAGCAGTGGTTCTCAACCTTCCTAATGCCACAACCCTTTAATACAGTTCCTCATGTTGTGGTGACCCCCAACCATAAAATTATTTTCATTGCTACTTCATAACTGTAATTTTGCTACTGTTATGAATCGTAATGTAAATATCTGATATTCAGGATGTATTTTCATTGTTACAAATTGAACATAATTAAAGCATAGTGATTAATCACAAAAACAATATGTAATTATATATGTGTTTTCCGATGGTCTTAGGCGACCCCTGTGAAAGGGTTGTTCCGCCCCCAAAGGGGTTGCGCCCCACAGGTTGAGAACTGCTGGCTTAAAGGATTCTAGAACCTAACCTCAAAGGAAGCAGACTCCAGCCTTCAGGCATTTTGGCTTCAGGAGATTTGCTCACCTTCAACTGATGAAAACAAGATCATAGCTTAACCTGCTCCGAGGTATTTATCAGAGCAGACTATGCAGACTAGTGCATAATGCATAGCACCTCTGAGAACCTACAACATCCTCTGGTTTCCTTTGTTCTGCCATCCTCTCCCCCCACCCTTCACCCCCTAACCCACACTCATAAAAAGCTTTGCCTGCACTGAGATAAGATGGTCTTTGTGACAAGAGTTCCCCATCTTCTCAGGTGTCTGGCTCTTGAATAAACCATCTTTCCTTGTACCAGCACTTTCCTCTAAACCAGTGGTCGGCAAACTGCGGCTCGGCAAACCGCGGCTTGCAAGCCACACGCGGCTCTTTGGCCCCTTGAGTGTGGCTCTTCCACAAAATACCGGCTCTTCCACAAATACCGACTGCGCATGGGCCACGAAGTTTCAATCGCACTGTATGTGCGCGCCTGCACATGGTATTTTGTGGAAGAGCCACACTCAAGGGGCCAAAGAGCCACATGTGGCTCTCGAGCCGCGATTTGCCGACCACACCTCTAAACTATTGGCTTTTCATGTGGTAGGCAGCCAAACTTGGGTTCAATATTAAGTTCAGTTATTGTATTTTTCAGCTTCAGAATTTCTTAGTTATTATTTTTTATAGTTTCTGTGTCTATTGATATTCTCATTTTGTTGATGTATTGTTTTCCTGATTTCCTTTAGATATATTATATTCTCTTTTAGGGTATTGAGTACTTGATAAACTGCCACCTCTCCCACTTTTTACAGACTGATTCATGCAGGGGGAAAACATCAATCAGCATGACTAGAGGTTCTGTGACTTCCCAGAACTTTTCTGGGCAAGCATCTTCTTTGAGATTGTGCATGTGCTTTTATTCTAGTATATACAGGTGCTTTGGGCCATTTGAATTTCCTTTTTCTTCTCATGAGCTTTCAGTGTTGGTTTCTATTATATTATTTTGCCCTAATCTCTTTCTTCCCCTGGCACCTTTTGGTGGAACTTCAGATTCTGCTGCTCCATTGTGCTGGGGTTCTTCCCTCTGTTTTCAGTGGCCTCCAACCTCATTTCCAAACTAAGTTCCTATTCCTATTAGTGTTCGGAGTCAGGCAAGAGAGAAATTAGTGCCTTAGGCAGCCCACAGATAAATCCAGAATACAGGATACAAGTTCTACTCTATTCCTTCTGTCCTGAGGAAGGAGCAAGGAATTGATGGTATTCTCCTAGTTGTGTTACTCTATGCTGGGTGAAAAAAATGCAATAAATTCTCTTACCCTCCTTGTATTGTCCCTTCTTTATTATGTACTCCTAGGGATGCTACAGCCTCTTAATTAGTTTCTAGAGTTCTCACAAAGGTATTTTGTTTTGTAGTTTGCTAATTTGGTGTCTCCAGGAGAAATGGGACCTGGAGCTTCCTAGTGTGTCATCTCACTAATGTCACTCTCTAGTTTCTTCATTTGTAAAATTTGGATAATTTCACCTATTTTATAGGTTATTGTGATTAAATTATACTATGTATGTATGGCTCTTTGTATTATCCCTGGCATGTAATTAGTATTTTTGAAATTTTGACTCTTTTTCTACTTGGAAACAGTTTCACACACTGTGTATTTCAATATGGCTTTTAAACATATTGGTACTTATTTTTCTATTTTTATATATTATTAGATACAAAACTTTTTTAAAAACTAGCTTGCCTACTTTTGATGATAGAAAATTATTTCTAAAATCTCAACAGCTTGCATATTGGAAGATGGCTTTAGTGAAAAAAGGGATAGTTTTGTATAATATTAAAATTCAGCAGTTATTTAAGTGGTATAATTTATTTAAAACATTAAATATATTATTTTTAAATAAACATAAAATTTTATTTTAAAAATTATTTGCAGAAGTAGTGATACTATTGTCTTCACTTGAAATATATCCAGTGGTATGCTGGCAAATGTTTAGCAACCAACTCTCCAGGAGGGTAAGGGGAACTTCTCTTTTGTAGCATTTGCAAATTTCTATGGTGTAAAAACTCCCACCATGAATGATTAAAGCTATCAACATGATGTCACTGAAAACAGAGTTGTAAAGAGTTATGTATTTGAACACCGTACCTGGGTTTTTACTGTATAAATACAGTTAATTTAAATAACCTCCATAGCATAAGTGATAGAAAACATAATAAACTAGGAGTGTATTTGTTACCTTTGTTTTTAATATAATTTAATTATAAGTTTATATAATTTAATTTTTAATGTTGGCTTTGTTTAACAATCTACTCACAAGTTCCTGAAATTTTAACAATCAGTTCTACCACCCCAAATAAGTCAGCTCCAGCATACCACCGAGTTCATATCTTTATATTAGTTGGGAATCTTTGGTTGCAATTGACATACAAAACAAAACAAAAAGCTCAAATTAGTTTAAGCAAAAGAGTTATTGTCTTGCATGATTTGAGTGCAGAGGTAGATAGGCCTTTTTTTAAAATTTTTATTTGTTTTTTTTGCTAAAAGTATTACAAAGGGTATTACACATGTGTCCTTTTTTTCCCCCCGCCCTTGACAATCCCCTGCCCTCCCTTACCCCCCAGTGTCTTATGTCCATTAGTTATGCCTATATGCATGCATACAAGTCCTTCGGTTGATCTCTTACTCCCCTCCCTCCTGCCTTTTGACATGGCTGAATTTACTGGCTCAAATGAAGTCCTCAGTAATTACTCTATCTCCTGCTTGCTTCCATTTGGCTTCTTTTCCAGCGGACTCATTCCATGTGGCAACACAGTTGGTCCCAAGTAATTCTAAATTACAGACTTTTATATTCTGCATCCTAGAATGATAGAGATTCTTTCTGTTTTCAAGTCCCTCTTTGTCCCTCAATTAAGACTATGATTGGGCTCACTTAAGTCATATGCCCTCCTCTAATTAGTGACTATGGCTTGCTAGGGCGTGAGAAACACTGACCAGCTGGGGGTCTCCCACCCAGGGGATGGGCAAAACAGAGTCCCTGATTGACATCCTCACTAGATGTGGGAAGAGGTACTGCTCTAAAATTCAGAAATTGTTGTCAAGCGAAGGAGAAGGAGAGGGAAAGCAAAAACGATAAATGTCTACCATAATCCGCTTTCAAGTACATTGTTATTTTAAGGTTCTCTTAAGGAATGTGGGCATGAGAGGCCACAAGACAGTCTTTCTAATCACGGACACTCAAATAAAAGAGGAAGCTTTCCTTGAGGATATCGACAGTGTGCTCAACACCGGAGAAGTACCTAACATTTTTGCAGCAGATGAAAAACAAGAAGTGATGGAGGTAAATACTTTTTTTTTAGGGAGTGCCTCTCCCAGCACAGAAATGTTCTTAGCTTGAAATTTTTTTCTCTGCTCTTTAGGATAAATATAGCTTGTGCAGAAGATGTTGGTAATTAAAAATTTTAAGTTTATTATTTAATTCATCTTTTTTGATGAATTTTAAATTGCTTTTACTATAATTGTGAGACAAAATTTTATTTTATAATTCCTTTTTTTCATAATGATGGCAATTTGTTTCATCAGTTTTATCTTATTTAGCATGTTTTATGGGTGATAAGAGTTTTCAAATCATGTCTTAGGGTTACAGTGATATGAGAAAATATAGCTTTAAAACATTACTTGGTTAGCTTTTATGTTTTACCACTGGTTAAAAATTTCCAAAACCCTTAATAAAACTACTTGTCTTAATAGTTCCGACATATCTGAGCGCCACACTTAGTGATTAAATTGACAAAAAAAACACAATTGTGAAGCACCCCTACTTCAGATACCCTGCCCTTCGACCACCATTTCTAAGAACTTCCCCTGCAAGATCTCTGCTAGTAATTTCCCCTTTCTCATTACTACAACTACTTTTACCCACAGAATACATTACTCATACCTGTATGCTTCATTCCAGCCTTCAGTGATAAGATGTGGAGTGAAATGGATTTACTCTAGTAGTTCAAGCACTTTGCTTTTCTCTTGTATGGAATGGAAATATTAAATACATTATAGTTCCTCCTACATAGGGTTGTTGTGAGGTCTGAGGATCAAATGAAATAAAGCCCTTATGGAGTGTCAGACACTTAAAAAGCCTTCAGTAAAGGGAACATTACCAGTTTGTAGTCTGAGTGGAGAAGGAGGAAAAACAAAAAAGATCCCAAGTTCTTTACTTTTATCTGGACAATGTCAAGAATGTGGCCCAGGCTGTTGAAGAATGGTGATTTTTCTAATTCATACAATAAACTCATCCCCCACACTCTTGTGTGCTACCATGAGTAGTAGCATTTCCTAAGCTTTGCTAAGCTTTCCTGCTCATTTTAGCTGTTGTTTATCTTTTCCTCTTGTCATTTTGCTTCAAAACTTGCTTCACTACTATTTTATTGTATGATCAAACAGTGGCCTTAGGAACTTCTTTTCTTCATGTTCCACTCAAGCCTAGGGACACCATATCAATTTATCCACAAGGACAGAGCCATGGTCAGAACTCAAGGATACTGAAATGTGTTCCTGTTTTTGCTTGCTTTATATTGATATTTTTAAATATAAAAGGTAATATGAAAGAAGTTCTATTATTTTCTCTCTACACTGTACATTATCCTGTGCATCCCACTTCGAAGACTGTCTTGGACTTCATTTATTTCATCCCTCTGACAAAGATTTTACTTTAAACCTCATTCCTGATAACTGACCTCTACACCTTGGCTCTGGCCCTACCTACAGGGCATCTCTTAAAGACTCAGCACATCTGTCTGACTTCATCAGAGTCCCAGCCTCACACGTACATTTCCAGACGACTTTTTCCATGGTGCCATTTGCACTCTTTGCAGAATGAAGTTACTGCAACGTTTTTCTCAATGGAGCAGTGACTTCTTATTTACCTTATTTAGTGCAGGTATACCACCTAACATAATTTTTTATAAACTGACATTGATCATAGTGATCATAATTTGAGAAGTACCATCAGAATGTATAGACTGTGTTGATTTATAGTTTTCCATGGATATAAAGTAGAACATAGCTATAGTAGAGAATTCTTTGAAAAATAAATTCATTGTAATAACAACGGAAATTATATGATCATTGTGACCACTCCTTATATAAAAATTTTTTAATCTATTTATAAGACACTTTATTGACTATGAAACCTTTTGTGCTTTGAACAAGGAGAAGTGTAGGATATAAAATAAAAGCAAACAGTTACCTATGTCAAGAACTATTATAAGCCCTAGCTGGTTTGGCTCACTGGATAGAGCATCGGCCTGGGGACTGGAGAGTCCCAGGTTTGATTCCAGTCAAGGGCATGTACCTTGGTTGCAGGCACATCCTCAGTAGGGGGTGTGCAGGAGGCAGCTGATCGATGCTTCTCTCTCATTGATGTTTCTAATTCTCTATCCCTCTCCCTTCCTCTCTGTAAAAAATCAATAAAATATATTTTTTAAAAAATTTAAAAAAGAACTATTCTAAGTGTTCACATGTTATAACTCATTTGATCCCTCAACAACTCTCTGATGTAGATACTCTTTTACCCATTTTAAAGGTGATGACACTAAGTTACAGAGAGGTGAAATAACTTTCCCCAGGTCACATAGGATATAAATTGCAAGCTGGGGATTTGAATTCAAAGAAGTTTGGTTCTTGAATTCACCAAAAGTAATCACTACTAACACTTCTTTGTGATTGCTTCCATAAAAAGGTGTATATGGCCCTAGCCGGTTTGGCTCAGTGGATAGAGCGTTGGCCTGTGGACCGATGGGTCCTGGGTTCTATTCCTGTCAAGGGCACATAGCTTGGTTGCAGGTTCCTCCTCGGCCCAGGCCCTGGTCAGGAGCATGTAGGAGGCAACTAATCGATGTGTTTCTCTCACATTGATATTTCTCTCTGTCTTTCCCTCTCTCTTCCACTCTCTAAAAATCAATGGAAAAATATCCTCAGGTGAGGATTAAAAAAAAAAGTTTGGTTCTGGAGCCATTATGCCTAACCTCACATAAAATTTCTTCTTATACAAAGACAGAAAATTAAAAGTGACCCATAATCTCATTACCAGAGAACACTATTTACATGTTTTAATGAAACTATTATAAGTATAAAGTTAGAGAATTCAGCATAAGAATGTCCAAAGTGAAATAAACAATGATATAAACCAGGAAAAATGTCCAAAATAAAAAATAAAAGCCTCCCTCTCACACTGTCCCTTAATTTCAGCTCACCAAAAGTAATCACTACTAACACTTCTTTGTGATTGTTTCCATAAAAAGGTGTATATGGCCCTAGCTGGTTTGGCTCAGTGGATAGAGCATCAGCCTGTGGACTGAAGGGTCCCGAGTTTGATTCCAGTCAAGGGCACATGCCTGGGTTGCGGGCTTGAGCCCCAATGGGGGGCGTGCAAGAGGCAGCCGATCAATGATTCTCTCTCATCATTGATGTTTCTCTCTTTCTCCCTCTCCTCTCCTCTCTAAAATCAATAAATATATATATTTTTTAAAAGGTGTGTATGTACTTATACATACACCTGATATATATTTTAATTTAACAAAGAGAATCATCATATATGTACTGTTGCACAATTTGTTGGTGTGTTTTTTTCACTTATTTTATCTTGCTGATCTTACAATAACATTTATATTGATACAACTCATTATTTTTAACAGTTGTATAAAATTACCATATATGGGTGTTTTATAACGTTTTAACTAGATGCTTTAGATATTTTCCTCTTAAAAACAATGTTAAGGAGACATTTGTAATACTTTAAGCAATAAAAAAAACACAAAACAATGTTGACTATATCTTGGTGAACTTTTTGTTCATATCTTTATGTCATATTATTGGCAGATATTTGTTTTTAAATTATAAAATCACAGAGTTGGAAGAAGTCTTCTAAGTACAAACTATATTAAAGCTATTCTATTGGTATGAAAACAAAAATGTAAAGATATTTATAAGGGGAGTATCAAAAATTGTTAATATTCTAATATCTACTAATTTCATTATCAGCTTACCTATTTCTATTTATCAGTTTTTTATTTTCTGATATTCCCTAGGGTGTCCGTCCTGTAGCTCAGGCTGGCAATAAACATGGTGAACTTAGTCCCTTAGCCCTGTTTGCTTTCTTTGTGAATCGCTGCAAAGATAATCTTCACGTTGTAGTGGCCTTTAGCCCCATTGGAGATGCTTTTCGAAATCGCCTGAGACAATTTCCATCCCTCATCAATTGCTGTACCATTGACTGGTTTCAGGTTAGTAATTTTTTTAACTGGAGAGGGCAACTAAATCTTTTGTAATTTTACTGAAATCTTACTCAAGCTTCATTAAAATACATTCAGCAAGTGTTTCTTGATCACTTACTCTAATGAAAGGCATAGTGCTTGGCACCAGGGACTGATAAGACTACATGTTTCCCACAAATTGCTCACACACTAGACAAGAAGACAGAAAAGGCAATCAGCAAATGAGCAGTAATGATTATATGAAAGAGCCATAATCTTGATGTGCAAAAGTTATACTTGAGACTATGAGTCTCTGACATATGAAAATGTGTTAATTGCATATAGGAGGGATATATTAGGAACCAATAGAGTGTATTATGTATATACACACATATATACTAGTACATGTATGTAAAGATATATATATGTGCATGTATATATTTATATCAGATATATCATATAGATGATAAGGAATTAGCTTGCATGATTATGGAGGCTGATGAGTTCTAAGACCTGCAGTTGGAAATCTGGAGACCAGGAGAGCTGTAGTTCTAGTCTGAAGGCCAACAAGCTTGAGACCAGTAAGAGCTGATGTTTCAGTTCAAGTGTAAAAAACTGATGTCCCAGGTTGAAGACAGGCAGGGAAAAGGAATTCCCCCTTATTTGGGGGAGGGTCAGCCTTTTTGTTCTTTTCAGGCAGGCCTTCAACTGATTGGATGAGGCTCACTCACATTAGGGAGGGCAATCTGCTTTTCTGACTGTAGAATTAAATATTAAACTCATTCATAACACACCTCACAGAAACACCCAGAGTAATGTTTGACCAAATATATGGTCAAGTTGCCACATAAAATCAACCATTACATGGGGATAGTATGTGCAAAGGTATAACAGTGCAGAGGGCATGGCTCATTTAGGCAACTACAAATAGTTTGGTAAAACTGACTGGCAATGAGGGCAGCAGGAGCTTTGAGTCAGTGACAGGTTATAAAGGAATTTGTAAATGTGCCTAGGAATTTGGTTTTATGCCAAAGATGCTGCATGATGATTAACATATATTTAGCTAATCCTTATTTTAGAAAAGCAAAACAATTATTGGAGGCTGTATGGTGAATGATTTGGAGTGGATCATGCCAGCACCAAATGATGACTGCCACCTCACTTAATCTTAAGGCAAATTGTCACTGCCTGTATAAGACCATTAAGTATTTACACTTTTGAGAACAGTAGCTTATGGTGCCTTCTGTTTAATTGCTTTATAACCAATAGAATGTGGACTATTGATCACTGGATAATTTCTTTTAAAAATAAATTTCTGATACTAACTTGTTTTATTCTCTTTTGCTTATTTGTCAGTTGCATGTTTGATAAACTAACTCTGTCCTTTTGAGGATAGCACATTTATTTCAGCTAGTGGATGTTTTAGTGTTTATACAGCAATAAAAGCTGTGTGAAACAATTTTGCTTTTTATGCAAACCATATCTTAATACTGCTTTCATTAAGTAGCCAAAGCAAAACCAAACACACAAAGAAAACCTGTCCTACCGTAAGTTTTGTGAAATCTTATAAATACAATTCTACTACTTTTGGATATCTTTTTTATAACCATGAGACTTTCTATTCTACATGATTCTTACTTATTGGGGAAAATTTTTTAAAAAAGGAAATGGGAGTTGCAAATAGATAAGCAAAGTTAAGTGGTTAACAGAATGGAATAAAGATTTACAATGAAGCAGTAGGGACACAGAACCTGTCAGAGAAACTGATGGCATTGTTTGGGGCCTGGGTTTGTGAAACTCAAGAAGTGAGTGTAAACCACTGTGTGTCACATAATCAGGAAGGCATTGACTTTTTTGATAGATCTCTAGTCCCCAAAGTAGGGTGTACACTTACCAGGGGTGGCAAAACAATTCAGAGAATAAGTGAAGCTATTATTGGAATATTCATTTTGTATGAAATATTTCCTATGGATTAACATTGACACCCTTGCCCAATTTGTATAGCCATGCATGATATGCAGGGTAACCTTAGCGAATCCAGTAGTGAACTGAAAATTGGAGATATGATGTAATTATAAGTGAACAGTAAGATAATTGCATAAACTAGCTTATGCTCTTTGTTAGTCACATCATGAAGCAAAACCAATGACTGCTTAATAAGATCTGACAAGGTGTTGATAAAAAAAAATTCCAGAAGGCTATTTGGAATATGGAGTTATATCAACTAGTTAAACGATAAATCTTATCCCCAGGGTATCTCATGCCATGCAATATCAGCTTATGATGGCATGGGGGACACTATTGGTTACCTATCAACAGTTATTTTCTACCCACCCCATCCTTGCTGACAGAATTTTGATATTGTTTGGGAAATCACCATTATGTAGATTGATTTCTGGTTGGTCTAAAATATTGGTGCTCTCAATATTATTGTTACTTGGCTTATAAATAAGCCTATTCATGACCCATTCCTTGCCAATAGGGTCCTGAGTTAAAGTTTGCTTTGGGGAAAAGTTGTGTGTTTTATTGTTATTTTTTGTTTTGTTGAGGCTGTTTTTTTTTTACTATGGAAAAGTATTGCATGGTAGGAAAAGGTCCTTTTCTGTCTTTTCACCTTGTTGCTTGAGGATGTAATGTCGATTGCCACAGCATTCTGGGACAAGCCCAAGGATAAAATAAAATGCACTGAGAATGGTGGAACAAAAAGACAGAAAAAACTGAATCCTCAATGACATGATTGAACTTCTAAGTTAAGCAACTTGGAAATACCCTACTTCTGAACTTATTATAAATATCCCCCTTGAAGACACGGTAAGACTGTGTCTTAACCATAAACATTCTAACTGCTACAGAGAGTATTAAACCTTCATGATTAGCAGGATAATTAACAACTAAGCACTCAGAACACAAAGATAAACTTTTGTAATGTTTTCAATGATGTATAAGTCATATGACACTTATTCTAGCCTTTGACAAAAATTCACTAATAATAAATCTTTAGAAGCCTCTACTAAGGTTTAAAAAATGTGTTAATACAATAAAACCATATGGATACAGGGGTGGGCAAAAGTAGATTTAAAGTTGTTCATATGGAAATATATATAATACAAAAATAAACTGTTTTGCATGCTCACAACTGTAAACCTACTTTTGACCATGCCTATATAATATATTAATAAATATGCATACATTGGCTGTGTGTGCTTAAAACATTTTTACTAATGGAGTGTTTGACCAAAAAAGTTTGCATTTTACTAGGAAGAGGGTCAGACATTGAAAAAAATTGACCTTAAAATACATATTATTTTCTTACAAAGGAAAAAATTACAAGCATCTTGTTAAGTCTAAGTGAAAGGAAATTTGGAAAATATCCTAATAAGCAAATGAAGATTAATTACTCATTTGACATAAGTAATTTCATCAAATAAATATTTCAAATATATATTGACAAGTTCTATTTTAGATATCAAAGATAGCAGTGATGAGAAAAACAAAGTCCTTGCTTTCATGGATTTTACATTTTAATCAGAGGGGAGACAGAAAATCAACAAATGAACAAATAATTATATATCAAATATTTATAAGTGCTAAGAAAAAAAATTCAGGATAAGGGAAAGTGTAATGAAGGAAGGAATGAAGTTTTAGAAAAAATGCTCTGGGAAGACCTTGCTGATAAGTTGGCATTTGAACAGAGATGTGAAGGAGTGAACCAAAGAGATTCTTAGGTGAGGAGAGTCCTAGTCAAGAGTGAACAGTAAGTTCAAAGCCCAGAGGCAGGGACATGCTTGACATATCCCAGGAAAAGCAAAGGAATGTCACATAGACGGGAAAGATTTGAAAAGAAGCAAATTTGTGAGGAAGAAAATAAAAGATTAGCTGTGGATGTAATGTTAGGAATTGTGATGGGCTATTTGTAACAGAAACCCAAACTAAACACATAGAGTTTTCCCTCTGATATAGAAAAAAACCTGAAGGTAAGCAGACTGGGGCTTTTATGGCTCAACAAAGTCCCAGAATCCCAAGTTTTTCTGCTTTACTATCCTTAGCATGTAGTTTCGATCTTAAAGTCATCTTATGGTCTAAGGTGGATATTGGAGCTCCAAGTTTCACATCTTGTGTTCCAGGCAAGAAGTAGAATAATGGGAAATAAGGCAAAAATGATGCATGCCACCTCGATGTAACCCTCTAAAGAGCCTTTCCTGAAATCCCCACCTAACAACTGTGTCTATGTCTTTATCCATTCTGAATTGCAAGGAAGTCTAGGAAATGGACTCTTTTAGCTGGGTGTGTTACTATCTAGAATATAATTGGAATCCTAAGGAAAAGGGGCTGATAGGTATTAGGTGGGCAACTAGCTGCCTCTGCCACTGTCATACTAAGTTTGGGATGCCTATACATCCAAGTGGAAGAGTTAGGAAAGCAGTGAAGTATAGCTTTTATATGGAAAATATCATTGACCTTTCATGTTATCTTTAATTTTAGTTTATGGACATATTAGTTAGATCTTTCATAGATTTACTTGTGACCTCAGTCCCCTAATTCTGTTTACCCCAATAGAGTTTAATTTTCTCAACCCTACATTATTCTTGTATAGAAAGGCACTTAATTTACATAGTTGGATTAGGATATTCATCTTAAATTTAACAAATTTTCTTTTTCTTATTTTTAGCCATGGCCCGAAGATGCCCTTGAGCTTGTAGCTGTGAAATTCTTAGAAACACTGGAGCTTACTGAAGTTGAACGACGAGAGATAGTTCCAATCTGCAAACATTTTCACACTTCTATTATGGATCTTTCAGAAAGGTTAATGAATTTTTAAACTACAATAATGTCATATTTTGAAGCATCTCTTTCTGTGAAAGTCCAAAATTTTAATAGGGTTTCTATGTTTTCTAGATCTCTTTGATCACTTAATTAGTAAAGACCCTCAGCTTGCAAGTAATAGAAAGGTACTTGATCTAGCTTTAACAAAAAGGGGGAGTTTATCATAAAAGATCCAGAGGTGTCTCACAAAGCTTAAGGGAAAGAATTCATCTGGGTCTCAGAAGTGACTGGAAGCAGGAATTAGAAAGCCATTCTAAAACCAGAAATGCCTTTTCTTTATTTCTCATTCCTGCTTTTGTCTGGGCATCTACTTACTTCTTTCTCTTTGCAGACTGAATTTTCTGCTTCCCAGGCATATGGAGGAAACTGGCTGCCTCTCAGTTCCCTATTTCCTTCTTGCAATTCCAGCTGTAGGCAGAGACTGATTGCCTGTTTCCAACTCCCCATTCCAAATTTGTTCCAAAATGTGATTAGTCTCATTTGTGTCCAGTGTCCAACTCTGGTCAGCTATAGTTAGGGTATAGTTAGGGTAGCAAGTTTCACAGAACCAATATTGCTATGGGGCACTGAGTGTTGGTAGGCTGTGGATTCTTCAAAAGTATCTGTTATACCTCTGTTAATCTCTGAGATCTTCATTTCATAGGTACATAAGCCCAAATGCTCATATCACTAAGAATAGAGTATATTGCCTATCCAGCTAGCATAGTTGGCTTGGACAGTTGCATCAAGAAGTGGGCTCTAGTCTACATACTTGCCATGAAACATCATTGCTTTCATTGTTTCCATGTGTATGTGTAGTAATCTCATACTTCTTGCCATACCCCATTCAGCTGACATGTGACACACTTGTGTAAAGAATGATGACTCATTCTTACTATCCTATCTGCAATCCCCTTTCCTACTATACTTGCCTAGCTTACACAATAACTTGGTTCCCTTATAGTGTTAGATCTTCATATGAAACATGTAAAAAGGCCTATATCTTTCACCTATGATACAGATCTATTTATTTGTGCTTTTTAAATACATCATTGCTATTTGATATCTTGTAGATAAGAAATTGGAATGTGGTTATGTGTAGAATTTTAGAACTCTATGGAGTTCAAGTACTCAGCACCCTCTAAATAAAATTAACTTCGACCAGCGGGTGAGACTCAGTGGTTGAGCGTCAACCTAGGAACCAGGAGGTCATGGTTCGATTCCCTGTCAGGGCACATGCCCAGGTTGCAGGCTCGATCCCAGTAGGAGGTGTGGAGGAGACAGTCACTTGATGATGTTTCTCTCTCTCTTCCTTCCTCTCTCTCTAAAAATCAATAAAAACATATAAAAAAATTTTAATTTTAAAAATTAACCTTTATTCTTAAATGCTTGTTATTAATGCTATGTTGAATTTACTTCTTACTTTCTGAAGCCTATTACTTATATTAAGATATATTATCTGCCTCTTTTTAGGTTCTTGCAGGAGTTAGGACGACATAACTATGTTACTGCTACTTCTTATCTTGAACTTATTGCCTCATTTCGACAGCTTTTGACTCAGAAGCGACAAGCTGTTGTGGAAGCAAAACAAAGATACGTGAATGGGCTTGACCAACTAGCTTTTGCTGAATCTCAGGTACATTTGACAGCGCAAAATGGTAATATATAATAGGAAATGTAAGAAATAATATGTGTCAGGCACTGTGTTATATGTTTCACATGTATTCCTTCAATTATTCCTCATAACAACTCCGTGAAGTAGAAACTTTTATGATCTGTATCTTACAGATGATTAAAGTGAGTTTTAGAGAAGTTTACTAAGTCACCCAGACCACACAGACTCAGATACATCTTGTTTTAGTCTTTCTTTCTTTTTTGGAATTTGGAGAGAATATATGAAGTCTGGGTTGTCTTTTTATTTTAATGGCTAGTAAAATAAAAGACTGGTGTTTTAAAAAATGAGTCTTCTAATGCTTATTATGCATTATTTCAATATACGCAACTAGAGGCCCGGTGCACAAAAATTTCTGCACTCAGGGGGGTGTCCCTCAGCCCGGCCTGTGCCCATTCACAGTCCAGGACCCCTTGGGGGATGTCCACCTGTCGACTTAGGCCCACTCCCCGGGGGATCAGGCCTAAGCTTGCAGTCAGACATCCTTCTGGCAGCTAGGGAGCCCTCGGGGGATGTCCGACTAAAGGCTTAGGTCCCCAAGGGATCGGGTCTAAACCGTTTGTTGGACATTCTTAGTGCTGCCACGGAGGTGGGAGAGGCTCCTGCCACCACCACTGCACTGGCCAGCCATGAGCCAGCTTCTGGCTGAGTAGCACTCCCCATATGGAAGTACACTGACCACCAGGGGGCAGCTCCTGCATTGAGCGTCTGCCCCCTGGTGGCCAGTGCACATCATAGCAACCAGTCATTCTGCCGTTCAGTCAATGTGCATAT